GGGGGGTCGCCTCCAGGCGCCCGCGGCGGCGACGACGGAGGAGCGCCCCCCGCCGGCCTCCGGCCTCCGTTCGTGCCTGGGCAGGTCGCCGCCCTTCGGCGGCGTTCGCCGCGGGCGCCGTCGGCGGCCGGCCGGCCGGCCGGCTTCGTCGGTCGCGGTTTCGTCGGTCGGCTTCGTCGGTCGTCGTCGCTCCTCCTCCTCCTCCTCCTCCACCTCTACTTCCTCCTCTTCCTCCTCCTCCTACTCCTCCTCCTCCTCCTCCATGTGTTCCTCCCTCGGGGCCGGCTTCGTCAGTCGTCGTTTCTCAAGCAGTGGCGAAGCGTCCTGGCTCGCCTATAGCCGTACCAAACAATGTTATAAGAACCTTTTGTGGTTTCCACGAAATGTTCTTAGAACATTTCTGGCGGAGTCTGTCTTGTTTTAACACATCGGGTTTGTGTTCTAAGAACATTGTTTTTGTTCTTAGAACATATCTGGTTCTAAGAACATTTCGTGGTAGGACTATAGGAATGCCGGGACGGACGGTCCCTGCTCAAGTTTCGTCTCGATGGTTGTGCAGGGCTCGTTTCGATTCCTCCGACTCGCTTCGACTCGATTCCGATGGCTTCCGCTTCCGATTCGATCCGGCCTGGAATTCCGATGCTGGTGCCGGTCTCTCAGTGGAGGTCTGCCAGCTTGAAGCTCGTTGAGCGGCAGCGAACGCGATCTGTGCTTCTGGGGCGACGGGGGTGAGTGCAATGCTTTTGTAGGGCAAGAGCAAGCCTGAACAGCCCAATCGTCGGCAAGAGCAAACCTGAAATCAGAGCTTCGCGCGAGGTGCGGCTGTAAGGATTGCTGTTGATCGATCAAGCGCGCCCAGCGAGCGTACGGGGATCCCTGGAAACAGCACTACCCCCCAGCGACCTTCAACTGCCAGCCTGCCGATTTCTGTCGATTTGATTTCTTCCGACTTGGCTGCCGATTTATGCCGATCCGATTCGTTTCGATCGCCGATTCGACTTATCGATTCGACTCTGGGCTTTCCTGGGTGCGGGAAGAAGTGGGACGAATCGAGGAAACTCGAAGAATAATAAACGGCATAAACATCATTTGTTGGCGCTCCGCGCGGATTTCTTGGATCCGCGCTGGGCCCTCCTGGCGGCGCCTCTGGCGCCGCCCCTGGCGCGCTCCGCGAGCCAGGGAGGGGGGGTCCAGCGCAGATCCAAGACATCCGCGCGGAACGCCAAAAGTTTATGGCGTTTTTTCTTTTTCTAGAAACGTAGACCCGAGTAAGCCGGAACCCGGGTTGGCCGACGCTTCTCTTGGCGAGGCGCGCTTTGGATCTTGACGGTTCAGTTTTCGTGGGATGTTTGCAGCGGGAGTTCGCGTCAAATTTCGGATTGACTCATCGCCACTGTCACGGTGGCCTCGTCAGGCCAACCCGAGTCCCTCGAACCCGAGACTTGCGTCCACCCGACCGAAGACCAACACCACTTCCTGTCCACTCTGAGCCGGGTTCGCCGTCTGTGGTGCGTGCCCGTTGCGGGTGCGCCGTCCTCCGTGGCCGTTGCGGCGACGGCGACGGCGACGGCGACGGCGACGACGACAAGTCACCCCACAGTTAACATGTGGGGGATGGGGGGCAGCGGCACCCACCACCATGCCACGCCCACAGGGCCACGACCGAGGGGCGGGGGGGGGGAGCGACCCCCTTCGCGGGGCCTCCGCGAGGTTCACGGGCGTGCCCCTCCAGCGGGGGGAGGGGGGGGGGAGCAGATCCCATCCGCATGGGGGCGGGGAGCTGGAGCCCTAGGTCGCATCTGCCGGGGCCAGGAGATCTGCCCAGACGGCATGCCCCCACCTATGCTCATCTCAACGCGACCCTTGCCCTTAACCTCGCTGTGCCGTGCACGCGCCTCGCGCCATTGTCACGGTGGCCTCGTCAGGCCAACCCGAGTCCCTCGAACCCGAGATTTGCGTCTACCCGAACGAAGACCAACGCCACTTCCTGCCCACTCTGAGCCAGATTCGCCAGCTGTGGTGCGTGCCCGTTGCGGGCGTGCCGTCCTCCGTGGCCGTTGCGGCGACGGCGAGGGCGACGGCGACGACGACAAGTCACCCCACAGTTAACATGTGGGGGATGGGGGGCAGCGGCACCCACCACCATTCCACGCCCACAGGGCCACGACCAAGGGCGGGGGGGAGCGATCCCCTTCGCGGGGCCTCCGCGAGGTTCACGGGCGTACCCCTCCAGCAGGGGGGAGGGGGGGGGGGGGGCAGAACCCATCCGCATTCGGGCGGGGAGCTGGAGCCCTAGGTCACATAGTTATGCCGGGGCCAGGAGATCTGCCCGAACGGCTTGCCCCCACCTATGCTCATCTCAACGCGACCCTCGCCCTTCCCTCGCTGTGCCGTGCACGTGCCTCGCGCCACGCTCTGTGAGCCCCCCTCGTGCATGCCCCCCACGTGGACGCCCCCGCTGTGTTCGCAGAGAGGCCTCGGGGGACACAGCTTTCCCGTTGTCCCCTCCCCCCGCATGCATGCCCAGATGCGATCCCCCAGTTTTAGATGACGATGCTTTCTGTTGTCCCTTGTCGGACGAGTTGTTTCGACGGACTGTTTGTTATTTTCGGCGTCCCGGCGGTATTTCATATATACAGCATCCTTGGACTCACCCGTGTGTACGAGCGTTTGTTTCAACATCAGGACGAGAGGGGGTAGTATGCGGGGCAGAGAGCGAAGCGAGGGGGGCGGATTGACGGGGGACGGGGGGGAGAACGACGAGAGCCTCTCTGTTCTTCCTGGACCAGGGACCTTTTTGGAGCCCGTCAGTGAAGAGGAGGCGGCGGAGAAGGGAGAGGAGGAGGAGAAGGCGGCGGAGGAGCGGGGATAACCTCCTGAGGCTCTCAGCAAGTGTCTCTCGTAGCAGGGGGACGAGGGTGCAGCTATGGCTGCGCTTGTGAGCCAGCGCGCAAACCCTTGGGCGACGGCGGTGCGAACGCAGCGGATTCGTGCCTTGTCACAGTCGGCCTTGGTTTCGGACATCGCTTGATCGGTTCATTGTTAAACGACCGCTTCAGGAAGGCAGAATTGTTGACTAGCTTCTGCAGTGGAGAGTGTCTGCTTGGCTTGACGGCGGTATCCTGCAGGAGCTGAACGGGGTGGAAAAGGTGGCCGTGATGGACGAGGTGCACGTCTGGTATGCTTCTGTTGCCAGTTCAGAACGATCGTGCGCTTGACACTTCATTCGGTTACTGTGAGAGAGTGGCGAAATTACCAGATTTGCCCGTTGCGAAAATTACTCATCTCGAGCATGGACGATTGCGGTCCGTGTGGTATCAAAGCGAAAAGGTAGTCATTACCGATTGACTTCTTACTTCTTTGGACAGCCATGTCTTGGGAGCGGGGATGTATTGGCGTACAGTATGGATTGGCGCACGGTTGACACTCATGATTAGAGATTTCTCACCCCAAGAATACCGTCAACAGCGGGCGATGTTCAGTGTTCAGCCCATCATGTTGCAACATTGAAACTAGAAGGAATAAAAGTGATTACAGGTGTTGTGTAGTTGTGCGCTGTTGCCCGAACATGGGATGCTGTCCGTTGTAAATGTGAGTTGTATTTGTGCGTGTTTCAGGAACATGTAATGTAAATTGGCAGTATGATGGAGTCCCCTTTCCCGTCAGTGGCGGGGGAGCTTTGGGATGGGTGGGAGGAACAGGTACAGTAATTTGGGAGGAGGAGGAGGAGGAGGAGGAGGAGGAGGAGGAGAAGCGTTAGTAGGACATAGCGGAGCAGAAGTACGGAAGGGAGGATAGGGTGGAGGAGGAAGAGGAGGAGGAGGAGGAAGACTGCAGACGGGGGCAGGATGGGCGAGATCCTCGCCCTTCCTGCCCCATCTCTGATTTCCACCGGGAGGGGTGGAGGCGCACGGAAGGAGCGCTCCTCCACCCCTCCTTGAGGAAGATGGGAGGAGCCCAGAGATCCAACCCTCCAGCAAAACTTGGAGCGGCGGGATTTGGGTAGTTTTCGGCCTCTGGGGGCCCGCTCTGGGCCTCGCGAGCGTTAGAAAACGATTCAGGATGAAAATTCCGGCCCCGGGGGAGCGGTCCGGACCTCTGCATGGGGCCCACGCACCGAAAACATCGGAGCGGCCGGACGCCCGGAAGCGCGGAAGGACCGGAGAGGGCGAAGGCTGCAAGCACGCGGCCGCTGGGATGGCAGCTCCTGGCTCTCTCTCTCTCTCTCTCTCTCTCTCTCTCCGCACACGTGAGCGCGAACGGGGCCGCAGCATCGGTCGCCGCGCGCCGCGCTCCTCCCTCCCTCCCTCCCTCCCTCCTCGCCCTCCCGCCTTTCCCTCGCCGTCATCCTCCATCCTCCCGCTGTCTGTCTCCGCCCTTCTGCCCCCGGTGCGTCCTCCCTCGGGTTCTTCCTGCTTCCTCTCTCGGTCTCCCCGCTCTCTTCGCCCTGCCCCGTGCCCACTCCGCCCCCTCGCGGTCCTCCTGCTCCCACCCACCCACCCTTCCCTCCCGCACTCCTCTCCTCCTACCTCCACGTCACCCCTCTCTCAGCCTTCTCCGCCCTCCCTCCGCCCTCTCGCCCTCCCCCTCCTGCTCCCTTCCCCCCCCCCCCTCCCGCCCGTCCTCTGCCTCTCCCCCGTCCCTCCTCCCCCCTCCACCGCCGTCCGATCTCTCCACGGCCGCCTCCACACACCACCGGGCGCCGCAGGCCCGACCCCCACCCCCACTCGCCGGCGCGCGGCGGCGGGCGGAGGTGCCGCCGAGAAGCCCGGCGGCGACAAGGGCGGCCGAGGGGGCCGCGAGGAAGGCGGGCGCGCCGCCGCCCGCGCACGGTTCGTGCGGACGCCTCCGGCCCGAGCCGATGCGATTTCGATGGTGGCTTCCGATTCCGATCCGCCTTCGACTCGGGGGGTTCAGTCGGGCACGTCCCTCTACAGGAGGAATCTTCAGAAATGGTCGAAGTTGCTTCTTTTGGGGCATGTGTTTCCAGATGTTTGGGATCTTTCCGAATGTTTCGTCCAAGTTCCGCCTGTAGGGGGACACGCCCGACCTAAACTTGGGGGTTTCGGATGTAGGCTCCGAGTTCTCGTTGGAGGCATACTAGCCTGCCGATTTCCGCCGAGTCGACTTTTCCTCCGATCCGACTCATTTCGATCGCCGATCTGGCTCATCGATTCGATTCTGGGCTCTCCTGCCCAGACCGCTTCTAAGTGCCGAGGAACAACAAATACCATAACCACTATGTGGGAGGAGCGCTCTGACCTCCACGCCCAGCGGACGGGAGGCGGCGAGGCGGCGACGGGGCGACGACGACGCTAGCATAGCTGCCAGACCGACATTCGGACCCACTGCCTCAGAAAAGGAGCACGAGCCCCTGAGTGCAAGCACTGTGTTGGGGAACAGTGGCAAACTGTCTGAGGACGGCGCTGCCTTCTTGGATCGGCGCTGTACCCCCCGCCCTGGCGCGCGGAGCGAGCCAGGGGCGGCGCCGGAGGCGCCGCCAGGGGGCTCCAGCGTCGATCCAAGACATCTGCGCGGACCTCCGAACGTTTGTGTTTATGCCATCTCTCAGGAGGGTAACAGACATACAGACACACAGACACAATGAGACTCTGCGACTCCCAGGAAGATGTGGGAAGATGTGGGAAGTGGGGGGAAGACGAAGCTCCAGATAACATTATTCGGAGGAGTATAAGGCCTCCTCCTCTTCCCTCCTCCTTCTCCCTCCTCCTCCTCCTCCCTCCTCCTTCTCCTCCTCCTCGTCCTCATCCTCCTCCCCCTCCTCCTCCTCCTCCCTCCTCTCCTCCCTCCTCCTCCTCCTCCTCCTCCTCCTCCTCCCCTTCCATCCTCCTCCTCCCTCCTATCCTCTCCTCCTCCTCCTCCTCCTCCTCCTCTCCTCCTCCTCCTCCTCCTCCTACTCCACCTCCTCCTCCTCCTCCCTTCCTCCTCCTCCTCCTCCCCTCCCCACCTCCTCCTCCTCCTCCTCTCCTCCTCCTCCTCCTCCTTCCTCCTCCTCCCTCTCTCCTCCTCCTCCTCCTCCTCCCCGATTTTAAGCCTACTAGCCTGCCGATTTCCGTCGATTCGATTTTTCCCGACTCGGCTGCCGATCTCCGCCGATCCGGCTCATTTCGATCGCCGATCCGACGTGGAGATTCGGTTCTGAGCTCTCCTGCCCCCCCCCCTCCAACTACAGCTGGCACGAGGATCAAAAACAAGCCTACTCCGAGTTTCTTCGTAAGCGTCGGGGGAGCGTCACCCCCGCCGAGAGCCCCACATCGAACCCCGTCGCGGGTAGCCACCGCGCGCCGAAGGCGCTCCGACCCGCGTCGCGGCGCGACGACGAGGCGAGGTTGACCCCCGTCGGGGCGGGGGGGTACCGCCCCACGTTTATTAAGAAACCCAGGTAAGTTTTGCTCGAAGAAGAAAAACGCGATAAACAAAACTTTTGACCCTCCGCGCGGAATTCTTGGATCTGCGCTGGGACCCCCCCAGCGGCGCCTCCGGCGCCGCACTCGGCGCGCTCCGCGCGCCAGGGAGCGGGGTCCAGCGCGGATCCAAGAAACCCGCGCGGTGCGCCAAAAGTTTATGTCTATATGCCGTTGTTTCTTCCCCTAATTGCAGCGGTACCCTTCTGTTCTTCGTGTTGGGGGTTCTCACCTTGGAGTGCTGCTTGTTCTGGGATATCTGCACGGGGCCTCGTGCCCTCTGCACGGGGCCGCGGCCATGTTTCAGCTGTAGCCCCGGCTGGCCTCAACAGGCCCCTCCGAGCAGCCCCAGCTGGCCTTGCAAGACCCGGGCAGTCCAGGGCGGTCTTAGCACCCCAACCCTGGGTCGCGAAGCGCCCCAGAGGCGCCGCCGGAGGCGGCGCTGGGATACCGAGACCGTTCCAGGCTACTCGGGGGCCTGTTGAGGCCAGCTGGGACCTTTCGAGGGACGGCCTGCGCTTTACGCGGTACCGTTCGGCATGGAATGGGGCGCTTGCGTCTGCACGCTGTCCCCGGCAGCGGCTGAACGCTGTCGCCGCTGTCATTCCATGTTGTTACACATGTATAAATAGATGTCTGTATATGCACATGTGTAGATATTTCTATATATATATATATAGATGTACATTTGCATTTGCATACATCATTGCATACACATGTATCGTTACAGCACAGAGTTGAGTGTGCATATATATATATATATATATATATATATATATATTCATATGTGTGTGCACGCATATTTATGTTTATGTTTATATTCATCGAACCGTAAGGTTTCGCCCCCTGCTTCCAGCCCCTCTCTCGGATAATGGGGTATGCAAGAGATGTATTGACTGGGCGCCGTCGTGAAGCAGCGTCGGAACTTCGAATGGGGGCCATTTGAGATATGAGCGTGTCAAAATCCATCAAATATCTAAGGCACATCGCAGATGTTGGCCTCTTGGGCCCAACTGGGGGGTGCTCTTGGAGCGCTCTTGGGGGCCTCTTGGGAGCCTCTTGGGCGGTCTTGGGACCATCTTGGGCGCCTTGGAGCACTCTTGGGCAGTCTCGGAGGCCTGTTGTTCCGTCTGGTGGGCCTTTTTTGAAGGACTGCGGCCTCGAAAGCGCAACTACTGCTTATGTTTCAAGGGTTTGTGATTTCAAGGGCGCGAAAAGGACTTGATTTATCAGGGATCGTGACTTCGAGGACGCAAACCTTCAGTAATTGATGAAAGAGTATGGCCTCTGAGACGCGAGCATTACGTAACTGATGATGAGTTATGGTCTCGGGAGCGCAAACACAGCATAATATGCGAGGGTGTATGGTCTCGGCGCAATTCACGATGGAGTATGGCTTCGGGTGCACGGTTCTCTGGTATTTTTACATGTCCCAGGACCTTCGCGCGGACTTCAACAATTCGCAGTGGGATGCAGAACACAGTAGCATCGAAGGCTGGAACCTGGAAATGCAGCAGGGAGCAGCAAGCCTAAGCCGCGGAGCCTGATGGCTCCGCAAGGGGTCCAGCGGATCTACGCATGTTCGTAGCACCCCGCAGTCGCGGATAAGAGTAAGGGGGCGGCGGGGATGTCGGCAGTCTGCGAGGCTCTGAAGAAACCCGCCAACGGCACCTAATTTTAGAGATGGTACTACGATCCCGCCGCAGGCGCCGTTTTTTGTTTGAAGCAATGTGGGTGGGTCGCGGCAAGGGTCGTGAGTGGGTCGCGGGTGGGTCGCGGGCCGGGTCGCGGGTGGGTCGCGGGTGGGTCGCGGGTGGGTCGCTGGTGGGTCGCGGGCGGGTCGCGGGGTGGGTCGCGGGTGGGTCGCGGGTGGGTCGCGGGGTGGGTCGCGGGCGGGCCGCGGGCAGGTCGCGGGTTGGGTCGCGGGTGGGTCGCGGGCCGGGTCGCGTTTGGGACGACGCCAAACAACAACAACAAACAAACAAGCAAAAAACGGAACAAACAAACAAGCAAACAAACAAACAACGATAACAATAATCTGTTTCGCGGAATTCCTCTTCAGCCACGCACCCAGGGACAGTGAATGACCGTTCGGCCCCCTTCACTCCGATATACACACACACACACACACACGTAACTACGTACTGCCTGAAAGGAAATGGGGCTCGATCTTCCCGAGTTCGAGCCCCTTGCGTACCTAAATGTCCGCGGGGGGACGTGTAGTATTCTTGTGTAAGGTCACGATGCCACTCGGACCCCCCCCCCGCGCAGCGTTCTGGCTGGCACCTGGTGCGCTCGACAAAGGGCCTCGGCGTCGTGTGGATCGGAGGGGGCTGACGTTGCACCCTCGGCGAAAGGTCCGCAGTGGGGGGCGGTACGGTCGGACCGAGGTATAAGATCCAGGTTGGTTCGGGGAGGGTACCCTAATGTTGCTCGGGTTTCTTAGATATTTTTTGTGCATCCTGGGGGAGGGTACCCGCGAGTGATCATATGGTTTGGGGTGTTTTTGCCAGCGCACGGTCTCACGTCCTTGAAGGATGTGTTTCTATCATAAGTCTGACCGTAGCGCAACGACGTTTGGTCCGTTAGCGGAACGTTGGCAGACGCTGGGGGAAGTGAAACGTGTTCACTGGAGGCGTGTCTGTTGGGTTCAGGGTCTTCGCATCGGGCAATGGAAGTGCGCGCGTGAGGTACAGTCCGGGCCCTGAAGAAGGAACCCTTTTCGTTGGGGAGGGGCTCCGCGTTCCTTAAGTGTTTCAAAGTTTGCCTCGGGTTTTCCTCAGGTTTTCCATAGGACATCGAGGTTGAACTGATGGGAAAAAGGGGCCTCGTTCCTTATTTAGGGTTCCTTAGGTCAACGCCTCGACTGTAGTCAGGGACAGCGTTAGAGCGGGGGATAGGCTCAGGGGGGGGGATGCGTCTACCCCCAATCTCTTGTCAATCACCAGCCGGGTCCCGATGGCCCGCCCCGCCATTGGAGCGTGCGGGTTCGCCATCCGGGGTCTGTCGCCGCTCGTATCGCCGATTCCAGTTCGGCGCTTCCCCCCTGAGCCACCGCTGCCCCTCAGCTATAGCTTGAACGTGCCAGAGTATCATGCGCTCTGTGTCTGTCAGTCCTGCGGTGCTGCGCTCGCGCGTGCGTGCTATTATCACGTGGGGTCGCCCGCGCGACCCGGGCTCGGGCCTGTCGGCGCAGAGGGCCGATGACCTCCTCCGGGGGGAAGGGTGGGCGCACCAGCTTCTCGCACCAGAGATGTCAAGGCCGTGGTGCTTCGCCGTGCGGGTGAAGGGGTTTCGGAGAGCCGCTCGGAGTGTGCGCCCGAGATTGGGGTTTGGGCGCGTGGCAGTTGCCCGTGGGAAGGGGGAATGGGGGAGCCGAGGAGGACGAGGACAGCCAGGGACGATTTAGGGAGGTGAGCGAGGAACGAGGATGATGTGGAGGAGAAGTAACATCATAATCGTGGGCGAGAGAGAGAGAGAGAGAAAAAACAAGAAAGAGGGATTGAGAGAAACAGCGAGAGAGAGAGAAAGAAAGAAAGAGAGAGAGAGAGAGAGAACAAGGGGGAAGGCAAGGAGGGGATGAGGAGGAGGACAATCACACAAATGGTAATCACAATACTTCCGAGGAGAGTAGTAAGTAGCCTTCGCTGGGAGTCGGTTCGAAAGCCCCTCTAGCGGTCTCCAACGAGAGGGAAGGGGAGGAGAATCAGAGGGAACGATCATGGGGGGGAGGATGAAGAGAAGCGATAGAGGAATAGGAGGAGGAGGAGAAAGCAGGATCCTCTGGAGGAGGGGCAGGAGGAGGATCTTCAGGAGCAGGCCCAGGATGGGCAGGAATTGGGCCTTCTTCGTCCAGTAGCGGCCTCTGTCCTTTTTATACTCCCCTTCAAGCCCCTTCAAGCGACGTCCCATGACAACAAGAACAAGGGGGAAGGAGGCGGGAGTTGGAGCAAGGGAGGAGGAGGAGGGAGGAGGCGGCGGAGGAGCAGCAGGAGGGAGGAGGGAGGAGGGGGACGAGCAAGGGAGAGGAAGGGAGGCGGGCACGGAGTTGGAGGAGGAGGAGGAGGAGGAGGGAGGGAGCAGGGAAGATGAGGAAAGGTGGGGTGGAAGGGCGGAGGCGGATGATGACGAGGGTGAACGCGTTCCTCCCCCCCCCGAGAGAGTTGCCTCCTAGAGTTTTTTGCGCCCTGCAGTGGCCGAGGTGGACGAGGAGGAGGAGGAGGCATCCTGAGGCCTCCTCCTTCTAGTCCGTCCTCCCTCACTCCTCCCTCCTGTCCCCTCTGCTGCCTCACACCTGCTCGCTTCTGCCCCCCTCCCCTCCTCCTTCCCCTTTCCCCCTCCCTCCTCTACGCCCCTCGGTTTCGTTGTCCCCCCCCCACACGGTCCACGCCTACCGCGAAGGCGCTGACACAGGGGCTGCCTGGGGTGCGGAAGGGGCCCGTCCTTTCTCGGGACGCTCCGCGGCTGTGCCTCTGGGCCTCCTCGTGCACCCAGGGTCTCGTGGTACCCCCAGAACCGTGCTCCTTACTCCTGTGCTCCTTGCCGTCAACCCGCACGGCAAGGACGGACACTTTCCCTGAGGGCACCCTCTGCATCCTTGCCTCCTCGGTCTCTCCTTGGCCACTCTCGCTGGCCGCGCCCCGCTCGAGAAGCTCCGCAGCGGCCTTCCAGGGCCCCTGCACCCTCCTCGTGCAGCCTCATGGTACGGGTCGGCTGTATTTCAGCAGCCCGATCGCAGCGACGGCGAGCTGACTGGGCGACGGCAAGCGGGCGAGCCCTCGCCGGCGGCGGCGGCGGCGGCGGCGACCGAGACGAGCGCCCCCCCCCCCCCGCCACGGGCGCGCCGCACGCCCGCGACGCGCGCCCCTCCCGGCCAACGCCCAGGGCGCCGGCGAGGCCGCCGCGGCGGCGCCAAGAGCGGCAAGGCGCGGGACGAGGGGGGGGCGGCCAGGAGGTGGGAGTCTTGAGCCTCAGGAGCGAAAGGAGGATGCACACACTTCAGCGGGCGAAGAACGGTATAAAATAAACTTTCCAGCCGCCCTGGGGCAGGTGTCCCCGACGGCGACAAAGTTTATTTTATACCGTTCTTCGCCCGTTAAACATTGCGCAACGTGATTCATGGATGACGAAACTCGGAGGCGGCCAAGAGGGGGGGCGCAGGTCGTGGCCGGCGGCACGTGCGCGGCCTAAGGGGGGGGGGGGCAGGGACGTAATGGAACAAGAAGAGGCGCCATGAAACCTGAGAAAATATCATGGCCCACGCCATGAGAGCCACCCCCCCTAGTCATCACCCCCTATTGGCCGCCCCCGACTCACGCACGTGCATGAATCCACCTTGGTTTCGAGAGTACGCACTGCGCGAGCGTTCGTATTCACGCGGCTGGTCTCGCGGACTGGGGGAGCGTGCTCATGGACGTGGTTGGGCGTGTGCGTGCTCTGTGGGCTCTCTGGAGACGAGGTCAGTGCAACTGGGGGTCGGCCAGAGCGCCGGGTCTTCCAGGATCTTGTAACGCCAGGGGTGCACGTACACGAACCCACGTTGGTTTCGAGAGTACGTTGGGCGTGTACGTGCTCTGTGGGCTCTCTAGAAATGAGGTCAATACAAACGGGGGTCAGCCAGAGCGCCGGGTCTTCCAGGATCCTGCAGAGCCAGGGGTGTACGTACACGAATCCACGTTGGTTTCGAGAGTACGTAGGGCGTGTACGTGCTTTGTGGGAGCTCTAGAGACGAGGTCAGTGCAGACGGGGGTCAGCCAGAGCGCTGGATCTTCTAGGATCCTGCAGAGCCAGGGGTGCGCGTACACGAATCCACGTTGCTCTCGAGAGGGTGCGCCGTGCGCGAAGGGCGCAGAAGAGGCCTCTGGGGCCCAGAAGGAGGCCTTCGGGCCCGAGATGGGCACTGTTCTTCCCCCCCCGAGAGGCTGGGCGAGGGAGGTTGAGCTTGGATGCTTGACTGCCTCAGAGAAGCCTGGCGGTTGCGTGCTAGGCACCAGCCTTCAGGGCCTGCTCTGAGCCGAAAGGCTAAGTGCTGACTCTGAAAGCCACGGTCGCCCATGCATCGCCCCCCCCACGTGTCGCCCCCCCCCCATTCCTTCGCGCCCCTCCAATTTTCGTCGGCGAGCGAGGGGGGAACTGAGAAGGAGGAGGCCTCCTCAGAAGGTTCGGAAGTCCCCTGGCCTTCTGGGAAGTGCTCGAAGCCTTCCCCGAAGGCACAGAAAACCTCTCAGAAAGCCGGAGGGCTTCTGAGAAGGCCTTCTCCTTCTCTTTTACACGCTCGCCGCAAACATGTATCGCCCCCCCATTACTTTCGGGCGTAGAGTTCCCACCCTCAAACACTTACCCCGACACACGAAGCAGTTTAGTAAACGGACCCACAGGGCTGTTTCAGTAAACGCCCAGGGCGGTTTTGTAAACGCCAGCTATCAGGCGATCGCAAACATGTACTAGGGGGGCGTGGATTAGCGGCGGGTCGCCTTTCCATGGGAAATCGCGGATTTCCGCCGCCGAACGAGAGACGTCACCGGCCGCATTTTGGGAAGGGCACCTCCCCCGATCCGCGGACTTGGCGACCGCGCGCCTAGATCGCTCATCCATGTCTGCGCGCCCCCGGCCTTTCGGGGGCGGATGCGCCGTCGCCGGTTGCAGGTCGATGTGTGCCCCTCCCAAGAGCCAGCCCCCCTCTCTACTGGTGCCCCCTCCTCGGCGCCCCCTCTCTATGGGTGCCTCTATTGGTGCCCCCCCCTCAGCCCCCGAAAGCATCGGGCCCGGATGGTTCTTTCTCCCTTTTCTAATCCGCGCTTTCGTCCAAGGCGTACCTTTTCCTGTGCAAGCTCTTGGGCAGGGCCTGCACCCCGCGGGTTGCCAAGCGCACTCGTTGCGAACCGCTCCGTCGGAGTCGCCGACACAGGGCATCCGAGCAGGGGGGGTTCGGAGGATCGCGGCGCCTCGCCGATGTGGAGCTCGACGCATCGCGCCGGCGACGCCGAGACCTTCTGGGCCTCCCACAGGGGGGGGGGGAGCGGGAGGCCCAGACCCCCGACGTAATGATTTTTTCATTACGTCGACCCCCAGAGGTCCTGACCCTTTCCCCATGACCGGCTTTGCACCCTGAGTCGTTTTTTGACGCTCCCGAGGCCTGGTGAGGGCCCCTGGAGGCCGAAAATGAAGGAAAACCTTCCGTCATGATTTTTTTATTACTCGAGGGGGTCTGGAGGGGTCCGGCCTTCTCGGGAGGCGCAGGGACTTCGCAGAGGCCCGCCTGAGGCCCCGCCCGCCCGCGCCCTGTCTCCCCAATTAGTGCTCGTAACCGGAAGAGGCCCGCTCTCGACCCGCAGACCAAACAATCCGCGCCCAACGGCGGAGAAGCTGCACGCAGGAGCAGCGGCAGCGCCCGGGCAGACGGCGGGAGAGCGGCGCGGGGCGGCCGCCCGGGCCCCTCTCCAGGCGCCGGCGGGCGACGACAGCGCGACCGGCGACGACGCCTCCGACAGGCGCGCCGCGCCCCCGCACGGCTGGGTGCGGAGGGAGGGACAGGGGAGGAGGAAGAGGAGGAGGAGGAGGAGGAGGAGGAGGAGGAGGAGGAGGAGGAACGACCAGACGAAC